GGGAGGGCTGGGGGGCATCGGGTGGGTGGCTCGATCTGTGCCAGGTGCAGGGTCTGCTGGCTGGGTGCTGGCAGGCTTGCACCTGGCACGGGCACCATAGCCAGCCCGTGCCACTTTAAGGGGTCCGGGGCCGGGAGGGGGGCAGACAAGTTTCCCTGGTGTTGGCCAGAGTGGCCACCAGGGAAACCTGGGGAGGGCTAGCCTCCCACTACTTCGAATTAAGGGTCTACACAGCCCTTAATTCGAACTAGTAAGTTCAAACTAAGCTTAATCCTCGTGGAATGAGGATTACCTAGTTCGAACTAAGCGCTCCGTTAGTTCGAATTAAATTTGAACTAATGGAGCGCTAGTGTAGCGCCTATGAAAGTTAGTTCGAACTTTAGTTCGAACTAACTTTGTAGTGTAGACATACCCTTTGAGAGTAATTATTAATGGTTCACAGTCATGCTGGAAGAGCATAACAAGTGGGATTCTGCAGAGGTCTGTTTTAGGATCTATTCTGTTCAATATCATCATCAGTGATTTAGATATTGGCATAGAGAGTACACTTATTAAATTTGGGGATGATACCAAGCTGAGAGGTGTTACAAATGCTTTAGGGTAGAGTCACAATTCAGAATAATCTGGACAAACTGGAGAAATGGTCTGAAGTTAAGAAGATGAAGTTTAACAGAGACAAATGCAAAGTATTCCACTTAGGAAGGAACAATCAGCTTCACACATACAGAATGGGGAGCAATTGACTAGGAAGGAGTACTGCTGAAAGGAATCTAGGGGTCATAGTGGAACAGAAGCTGAATATGAGTCAACAGTGTGACACTGTTGCAAAAAAAGCAAACATGATTCTGGGATTCATTAACAGGAGTGTTATGAGCAAGACACTAGAAGTAATTATTGCACTCTACTCTGCACTGATTAAGCCTCAGTTGGAGTATTGTGTCCAGTATTGAACACCACATTTCAAGAAAGATTTGGGGAAGGTCCAGGGAAGAGCAATAAAAATGATTAAAGATCTAGAAAACATGTCCTATAAGGGAAGGCTGAAAGAATTGGGCTTGTTTAGTTTAGAAAAGAGAATACTGAAAGTGCACATGATAGCTGTTTTCAAGTATCTAAAAGGGTGTCACAAGGAGGAGGGAGAAAAATTGTTCTTCTTGGCCTCTGATGATAGGACAAGAAGCAATGGGCTTAAATTGCAGCAAGGGAGGTTTCAGTTGAACATTAGGAAAAACTTCCTAACAGGGTGATTAAACACTGGAATAAATTGCCTAGAGAGGTTGTGGAATCTCCATCACTGGAAATATTTAAGAGCAAATAGACATCTATCAGGAATGATCTAGAAGCTGCTTGGTCCTGCCATGGGTGCAGAGGACTGGAATTCATGACCTCTTGAGGTTCCTTCCAGTTCTAGTATTCTATGATTCTAAGTGATCTCTGTCACCCATTCCCAGCTTCTAACAAACAGAAGATAGGCTCACCATTCCTGCCCATCCTGGCTAATAGCCGTTGATGGACCTATTCTGCATGAATTTATCTAGTTCTTTTTTGAACACTGATAAAATCCTTCCTTTTGCTTGTTTTAAACCTTCAGCGTATTGATTTCATTTGGTGACCCCCTAGTTCTTGTGTTATGAGAAACTTTTATTTATTCAATTTTTCCATTCCAGGCATGATTTTATATGCATTTTAATATATTATTTAATTATGCAATCTTTAATTACATGTTATGTGTTTAATTCTGAAGGCTGGGTAGGCGAGGAGAATGGAACTGCTACACAGAGCCAGAAGTTAAAGGAGCGGTATATTCATTATGTTACAATCTTGAATTACATGATTATATTTTTTTAGACAGGACTACTATCTCATAAGCAAACTAGGGAAATTTATCTACCTGAAATTACAGTAAACTGGATGCACATTTGATTGAAAGAGTGCACTCTGAGAATAGTTACCAGTGGTTTGCTATCAAACTAAGAGGATATATCTAATAGAGTCACTAATAGACTAGAGAGTATCTACATATTACATTTGCAGATGACACAAAGGTAAGAGCAGTAACAAGTATTTTGGTGGATAGCATTAACATTCAAAATGATGCTGACAATTTGGAGAATTGGTCTGAAATCCGCAAGATGACCTTCAATAAGGCAAATGCATCGTACTACTCTTGGGAAGGAAAAATCAAATGCACAACTACAAAATAGGGAATAACTGGCGAAGCAGCTGTAATGCGGAAAAGGATTTGGGATTATACTGGATCACAACTTGAATATGGGTAGAGCCCTGCAAAGTTACAAATGTCTACCTATGGATGCGGATAGACATCGGCATTTGCTGATCTGCTGGTCTCTGCTCCCAATAGACGGTGTGACCAATGGAGATGTTTCTTTTCCAAACTGAAAAGTCCCAGTCTTCTTTATCTATACTCTTATGGAAGCTATTCCATACCCCAAATAATTTTTGTTGCCTTTTTTTGATATTTTCCTATTCCAGTATATCTTTTTTGAGCTAAAACAACTGCACTTCCACACAGTGTTCAAGATCGGGTGTACTGTGGATGTATATAGAGGCAGTATGATATTTTCTCTTATTTTAAAAAGGGACAAATAATGATTTCCAAAATGTTGTTTGCTTTTTTGACAGCCACTGCACATCGAGTGGCTGTTTTCAAAGAATTATCTACAATGACTCCTGGATTTCTCTCTTTAGTGGTAATAGTTAACGTAGACCTCATCATTTTATTTGTATAGATGGCATTAGGTTTTCCAATATGCATATTGCCAACTCACTGTTGACACTTTTCTCCAGATTATTTATGAACATGTTGAATAGGACTGGTCCCAGTACAGACCTCTGGGGGACGCCTCTAGTTACCTCTCTCTGTTCTAAAAACTAATAATTTATTTCTACCCTTTGTTTCCTTTCTTTTGACTAGTTATCAGTCCATGAGAGGACCTTCCTTTTTATCCCATGACAACTTACTTTATTTAAGAGCCTTTGGTAAGAAGACCTTTTCAAGGGCTTTCTGTAAATCTAAGTACACCCTATTCACTGGATCTTCCTTGTGCACTTGCTTGCTGACCCCCCCCTCAAAGAATTTTAGTAGATTGGTGAGACATGATTTCCCTTTACAAAAACTACATTGACACTTCCCTAACAAATTATGTTCATCTTTGTATCTAACCGTTCTGTTCTTGACTATAGTTTCAACCAATTACCTGGTACTGAAGTTAGATTTTCCAGCCTGTAATTGCCAGGATCACCGTTAGAGCCCTTTTAAAAAATTGACATCACATTAATTTATCCTCCAGTCATTAGATACAGCAGCTGATTTAAAGGATAGATTACAAATCACAGTTCGTAGTTCCGGAGTTTTGCATTTGAGTTCCTTCAGAACTCTTGGGTGACTGCCATCTGGTCCTGGAGACGTATTACTGTTTAGTCTATCAGTTTGTTCCAAAACTTCCTCTAATGACACCTCAATCTGGGACAGTTCCTCAGATTTGTCACCTAAAAGAATAGCTCAGGTTTCAGAATATACATCACATCCTCAGCCAGAAAGACCAAAGCAAAGAATTAATTTAGTTTTTCCACAATGATCTTGTTGTCCTTGAGTGCTCCTTTAGCCTGTTAATCTTCCAAGGTTTGCTAGGACTCAGAGAGAGCTAAGTCCTAAAAGTAGGCTGGGGTTAGATGGTGTGGTGCCTTACAAACCTGACCTGGAACCAGTTAAGTGTTTAGTGTTAAAGGATATGGATGATTGGGGAAAAGCACGCCTTTCTAGTAAAAGTTTAATAAAAGCTGAGGCCTGTTGCTTAATTCCATGGATATGTCTGTCCTCATTTCACTGCTGCATCTGCATCAATCAACACATTCTCACATGTCATAACAATTTGTTAAAAAAGAAAACCCCATATAGTTTGTTAAAGGCTCACACTTGTGTATACTTTAGTTTGTTAAAGCCTTGCTCTATAATAACAGAGATTGAGTTACAAATGGGAATAGCCACATGCTTTTCTTTCATTTATTTCTACAAAGTGAGGAGTAATGGGGAGCTAGTTCTTTGTTATAAGCCAGCTATTTACTATTATATTTATGTTCTGCCAGACATCATAGACTTAATCTACCTTCACTGGTGCAAGTTCTAATTACCCCTCCTTGAGCTATCTGGTGCATCTCCAACAAAGGAAGGGTTGGGAATTGGTAGCTGGTTGGTTTTCTTCTTCTTCTTGGAAGTTCAACAGGGGAGGGAAGTATTATACTATTGAAGAGCCCTGGCAGTGAAGTCTGCCAAAGCCATGTGCTGCATGAGTCTATCCGTAGATTAGCCATGATCTCTCCCCTGACAGCATTATCTACCATTGGGAATCCATTGACCAGCTGCAGGCCCCCACAGAAATAAAGGTGGAGGTGGTTTGGGCAATGCAAAACCTTCCAGGGGGACTTTCCCTCACAAGGGTTCCTGTCTTCTGGGCTATACCAGCAGAGCTAAGCATAATCTATGGCTGAGCATGACTCCATATTTTCAGGATCTTCAGTTGGTGCAGAAATATCTGTTTAATTTAGAATTTACAATTTATATTTGAATGGCCTTCAGTTAGTCCCAAGAGCCACTGTGCTTTAACAAATAAATGCTTCCCCCTCCCCCTTCACTTGTAGAAACTTTTTAAAACTGGAGATTTATACGGAAATACTGAATTAATGTAAGAGCTGGAACTCATTATTTTGGTATTTATGTATCTATTTTCTCTAACTGTGTTCTTGTCTTTGCAATAGAATTGCAGTTATTGACACATGATGGAAATTATTGCTTCCTGCAGTCTTTCTCTTCTTTTGTCCAGGTCATTCAACAAAGAAATGGAGAGTGTGACCACACTCAATTTTTAATAGAAGAGAAAGAGTCTAAGGAAGAGGACTTTTATGAAGACCTTGACAGATTTGAAGAGAATGGGACCCAGGAGTCCCGCATCAGTCCTTACACTTTCTGCAAGGCTTTTCCTTTCCACATAATATTTGACAGAGACCTGGTGGTCACACAGTGTGGCAATGCTATATACAGAGTCCTTCCACAGGTGAGACCATTGTCTTATGTGGGCAGCTGTTACCAGTGTTTTAGATATTATTTTAATAACAAGACTCAAGTGATATTATATTTTCATATTGATTTGTGATAAACCATAATTTAGTCTAATATTTTATATAAAAAATTTATACCTGCATTCTTTAGGTCAATAACTGTAAAAATCTTCTACCTTATGTTGTATATGCAGTGAAAAATACACTCACTATGTGAATATTTTCTGGTTGTAGAAAAATCCTTTATTTCCTGAGCTAATGAGCTTCTTTTTGTCTTGTTTATGTTTTAGCTTCTGCCAGGAAACTGCAATCTATTGTCAGTTTTTTCCTTGGTTCGGCCTCATATTGATATTAGTTTCCATGGGATCCTCTCACACATCAACACTGTCTTTGTATTGAGGAGCAAGGTAATCAAATAATATTCATCTGGCTTTTGCATAAGTAATTTTACAGAGATAAGAGAACACTCAAAGGCCTTCAGCAAAAATCTTTTGCACAGTAGTAAGCCCTGAGCCCATTCTGTGTCTTGGGCCAAGAAAAAGCCAGATTCATGAATTCATATGTTGTTAGAATAGGCTGCAGGAGCAGATAGGATGGTGCATATTTTTGCACCTATGATCAGAGCCCTGCAAATCCATAGATATCCGCTTTAAATCATAGGTATTTGCATGCATGGATATGCACGTGGATCTCCATGGCTCATTTTTGTAGATATGGATGTGGATACACATTTTGTATCTAGAATCCTACAAATCTGAGGATATCTGGTTTATATAGGTGGGTATCCACAGATGTGGATGCAAATATCTGTGAATCATTTTTTGTAGATGCAGATTTGGATAACTTTTATGTGTGCAGGGCTCTGTCTATAATGTCTTCTTTATAAAAGATGATCCTGTACAAATAAATGACTTTGCAGAAATGCAGCCTTCCACTAGAAGTAACTGAATGACAGCCGCTGCTCCTGATTTTGGAAGGGAAGCAACTATGCAATAATTTGGGAGTACAGTATTTAGGCATATCATTGTTTGGACACACACAGACACAGTCTCTCTCTCTCTCTCTTTCTCTCTCTCTCCTCCACCTCTTCCTCCCTCCCCCCGACTACTCAAGTAGTTGAATACCTGATAAGCCTAGGCTTATTGGGTAATAAAGCCACTACTCGAGTAGTTTCATTCCCTCTCCCTTGCTGCCTCTGTCTCAGAGGCAGCAAGGAGGGGATGGACACAGAAGCTGTTTCCCCCAGCACCATCTCCATGGTGTGGAGGGGAAGGGGTTGGAAGGGAATCAGAGCTGCAGCAGTCTGAGGGTATGTCTACACTACAAAGTTAATTCGAACAAACAGACGTTAGTTCGAAATAACTTTAATAGGCACTACACTAGCGCTCCGCTAGTTCGAATTTAAATCGAACTAGCGGAGCGCTTAGTTCGAACTAGGAAAACCTCATTTTACGAGGATTAAGCCTAGTTCGAACTAGCTAGTTCGAATTAAGGGGTGTGTAGCCCCAAACCTTGGGCAGGGACACCACTCCTACCCCCTGGCTAATACCACTCCATGGACCCAACCTCCATGACTTGATCTCACGTCCCTTTAAACTCTGTT